AAATAACACTGAGTGGGGGGGGGGGGGGCGGGCACACAGGACCTCCTTTAAATAAGGACACATTTTCCTTTGTAAACCAAAAAAATTAAAGACATCAATATTTCTCTTTCCTTATCTTCTTCTCAACCCCACATGCAGCTCATCATTTAGTATTTTTTTCTGTACCCTCGATCTCTCACTTCTTTTTGTCATTGTCTACTCTTTGTATAATTATGACCATGTTCTTCTATCTTTGTCGTGTAAAGTATTGTCTTGTCCCTTTCTCGTCTCTGTTGGCATCCCCATTTTTCTTTCCCCTATTTTGTAGTTCCTTTTGTCATTACAGAATAGTAAATTTAATTACTCATTATTCCTAAGTTTCATTTGAGGTGTTCACACTTGTACAAACATTGCTTTTTAGTGGACCCCTCTGTTTCCAACATGTATTTCTTAAATTTGTTTTAAATGCTTATAATTATTTGTAATGTTTTGTTGGAAATGTGAATAAATTTGAAATTGAAATTGAAATTGTATGCTAGGGGCAGAACTAGAATAAAATATACCCTCCACTATATACGCTAATAATAATAATAATAATAATAATAAAAATGTTACTTATAAAGCGCTCACCACCGAAGTCTCTAAGCGCTATAATTGCAACGTCAACTTAGTTCCATTTACTTTGTTAGTGAATTAATACATGTAGGTGATCGTTTAATATTTGTGTGCTAAATAACCTGGTAATTTTACCTGCATGGGACTTTCTGCTTCATGTTGTTAACTTCTTTCAGCTCTTTAGTTTCAATCTGTTGGAACAAAAAGAAGGAAAAAAACCAATACAATAATCAAGGCATCCCTTTCTCCTTAACAATAAAATAGATCAAGCATAATAGCTATTTTTTATGTCATGGTTGGCCTTAAATTTAACATGGTGTGGAAATCAACATTCCTATTTAATGAACCACAGTACAAAGTAAAACTAATGGAATATTTAACGTGTACCTCACACAGTGCTTTCTATGGCCTATAAGCACGAAGAAGTACTAAGTAGAATTAGTTTATTATAACAAGAAGAGGTGGACTACAGATAAGTAAACATAATTGTGGACTAGGGGTCATTTCTTATACAACGTCCAACAAAAATATATTTATCAACATGAACTGCACAATTTGGAAACAAATCTTTAATTTAGACTCCTTATGAATATGAGTTATGACAACTAGACAAGCATGCTGGACCCACACAAAATCTAAACATTAAATAAACAAATCCTAGTTGTTGTTTTTCGAATATTTTTATTAATAAGTTCCAGGTTTACATCTAGATCTAGGCCTAAATAAAATAGGGTTTGGAGTTGTTTGATTATCCATGGTCACAGATAATTCTGGTCTGAAGTTGACACCACCAATTTTTCATTTCATTTCATTTCAAAGACTTTATTTTCTGCAATCAAACAAATCAGTTATTCAACAAATATGGATAATTATATAAAACATAAGGTATGCAAACAATATACAAAATATAGAAACAAATGTATAATACATGAGTAAGAGTAAATTTATACGTTGGGCCATTGCGTGTATAATTGCAAATTTGAAATTTAGTGTGCTGAAATTTGAAAATCGTGCCGGCCAATATTTTGCTCAGTGGGGGGGGGGGGGGGGGGGGGGGGGGGGGGTATTGAGTACCTCAACAGAGTCCACGTCTAGAAGAAGGGTCTACTAAAGATTTTAACAAGAATTAACCCACTTGGATTATTAAAGAAATCATACTTCATAGATTATTTCAAGGTAAGTTAAATCTAGATTTAAATTCAATCAATAAATTGATGAATTAGATTCATGATGACGATCAAATTTGCAGATGAGCACCGCAATTCCACGGGGTGGCCCTGCCGGAACCCCGGGCCCTAACTGGGTGACATGACGGCAAACCGCAGTCAAACTACTTCACGACGATGAAAATCAAAGTGCAATTTGAAGAGAAATATTTCCCTAGCCTTTTCCCCAAATATCTGTTGAGAACAGTCTCAAAATGAAAAGAAATTACCGAAGATCACGAAAACTATTACAAATTTTTCAAAATTAATCACTAAATTCACTAAATTCACTCATATTGCAATCAATTACTCACCCATTCTCCGACTTTGTTGTCAGCTAGCTAGGCGCAGGCGATACGTATACTCGTACCGTACACACACAAATCATACATATTACGGTGACGTCATGACTAGTCTTAGTAACAAGCGCTTGCAATTATAAAAATATTGATTAAACACTCACGTCAGGTTTTGGAAGACGTGATCATTCGTGTTTTACCGGCGTGGAAAACAACGAATGGTAGACCCTACACTTCGTAAATTAGAGTCACCTATTTTACGAAACAGCGCAAAACGTAATACGTGATCACGTGAACGTGAACGTGAGTGTTCGTTGCAAGCCTCAAGAAAGTTATGAATCCACACTTTTTTACCAACATATTTGCCAATTTACATGCATATAAGGTTAAGAAATTTAACAATGTACAAACATCCATCCCTGATTTTATCATGAAAATCTGGAAGATAAGTGGACTTTAAACTGTTTGCGAAAGATGTGACGTGTTCCACTGCCTTGTTGTGCGGATAAGAGCAAAGGTTATGTTTGGGGTCAATTTCTTAAATGGCTGATATTGTCAACACGTTTGCAATTAAGTGCCTCGATCTATACTGGTAGGCGCTGTTATGATACAATGAACTACAACGTTCGATGAACTTGTGCATGACTGTTCAACATTGCTCAAATGAATATGGTACAAAAGTACATGTATGTATCATTTTTATGCCTCCGCCACCGAAGGTGGTGCCGGAGGCATCATGTTTTCGGGCTGTCCGTCCGTACGTCCGTACGTCCGTCCCGTTTGACCGTTATCACAATATCTCAAGAACCATTTAAGATTTAAACTTAAGACTCAGGAATAGTATTTATCACCATAGGAAGACGATCTGATTAGATTTTGGAGTACGTAGGTCAAAGGTCACAGGTCACAGAGGTCAACTTAATGAAATTCCTTGTATTGAGTTTGTTAGCGCGATATCTCAAGAACCATTTGAGATTTAAACTTCAAACTTAAGGATAGTATGTATCACCATAGGAAGACGATCTGATTAGATTTTGGAGCACGTATGTCAAAGGTCAAGGGTCATAGAGGTCAACTTATGAAATTCCATACATTGAGATTGTTATCATGATATCTCAAGAACCACTGGAGATTTAAACTCCAAACTTGTTTAAATTGCTCTATGGCGGAGGCATCATTTTCGACTGCGCGCAGTCAAAATTCCATCCAGTTATTTTTGTATAGACTGTTTTTTTAATGATATTTATTGCACTCGATTACATACATGCTCATCTAGTTGTGCTGATTAATTTTTTTCATGTTTCAGCTTGATACTGATGTGAAAGAAGAGTTGCGTGGGTTGGTATTAATTACAGTATTAATGAGTCGGCCTGCATTGTTCAGGCAGCGCATGGATGGTCTTTCGCTTTCACTCATAATCCTATTTTTATATCTTCTATTTAGAGACAGAAGGACATTAACTCACATACTTTACTACAGAGTTAACACCCTTCTGGCTGCGAACAAATGATATTATCATGTTTCATGGCAAAGAGAATTATTGATTAGTTGAACATGAACATTGTCACGTATGCCTCCAGTATGTGACTTTAGCAGATTGGCAGACTTTAGAAATGTATTTATGATATCAATTCCTGAGTTGTTTTGTCTTGTGTGCAGCCTGCTTGTGTGTCTTTTTACCTCGACAGTCATTGACAGTTTTCATCTTGTGATATTTTGTCAAGCTTATCATCAATTGTGCTAAAAAATTTATTCTATATTTTATTTCCTAATAAAAGCGTGAAACATTGTCGTCATGATGACTCACAACGGTTACAATACATACTGTAGCAACACAATGAAAAAAATACACGGGGGCTCGGGCCGAATTAGCCCCCGAAATGCCCAAAATAGCCCCCGAAAATCAGAAAAGAGCATCTGTAAATTTGCATAGAGTTCAATGCAAAACAAATTTTAGAATGTTATTTTCATGCAGGCAAGCTTGAAAAGTAGCCCCTGTAGCAACATTAAAAAAAAATAATATCAATGGATACATTGATATATCCATGGCTCACTACCAAACAAAATCTTTATACGTGACACTCTATTCCCCTACATACTCCTATAACAGCGCCATGTACCCCCCCCCCCCCCCCCCTTCCCGGCTGCTATCAACTCAAGCATTCTTGCTTATGATAGTTGGCCTCTGCATTTATCTTGATTATTTTTTACTTACCTCCATACTTTCAAGCTTTCAATTATGCATTTTTATTTGTGTGTATTTAAGTTGTCACTCTATATGTAAATCAAATATATTATATACTATTATTATTATTTGAATGTTTTATATTTGATTTATTAATAAATGCAGAAACATCTGCTAATAAAAAAAAAACATACCTGAGTTGTACGGGATGATTGGCAATCAAGTTAACTTGTTTGTCTGACTTGGAAGCATCAATTTACACCTTCACATGCCTAGACTTACTCCCAGTCCCAGGCAAATTTTGTTTCCAATACATAGATATCCTATCGTTCTGTATTATTATTAACTTCTGGATTACAATAGGTAATTCTTGGAATGTAACCAAATTTATGATCTCTCTTTAACATTTGATAATGATAAATGACAAGCTTTTGTGACAATTCAAAAGGACATAAGAAAACAAATTGACTACAGATTCTTATTTTTTCATTGATTGTAGATAATATATCATGTGCATTACACGTACTTTTTCATTGAATAGATGATTGATTATATTCTGCTTGTTTCTTTATTGCCAATCACATACTTGAGTACACAGTATGTACAATCATGTCATTTGGCATTTTGTTCTGTTGATATTATGTTTCTTTTGAATAAACCAATGTTTGCATAAAGCACCCCTCAAATCTCATACATCTAATACTTCTCATTTCCCTGTCTTGCTTCCTACCCTGCTACAGATCCTGGGACTGTTCACTGCCTGAAGCCAGATATCCTGTTTACGGGAAAGCAAGTCGCCTCTCTTTCCCCACCATCTGTTGCGTTCATCGTTAGCTAATCTCACACTCATTCCAAACTTCCCACAAGAAATCATGTTCCCCTGGAACTCAACTTGACAGAAAGATCACTTTAAAAAAAAGTCGGCGCAAACCTTACTCCAATTTTTGGTTGGAGTTGAATCATCACTTCATTTGCCCTCCATCGAAGCACAACCTTACTGTATCGTATAGCAACACCGAAAATAGTCTACCCCTCTTTACCGTTTGAAACCAGACCCCGACTTGTTGATAAACCCTGTTCCTGAGAGCTTCCTTCATGTATACGTCGAACGCCAGCTTCCCAACAAACCGACCACCATTACTCCTCCTCACCTTAGAATTAAAGTTCCCCCTCCTCCCTAAGCCGTCCCCGCCCTTTGCCCCCGGTCACCAGTCCCTAGCACGCCATGGCGGAGCTCCAATTTGAGATCACCGACCTCGACCACGACCACCAGGTCAACGGTAACTACAATGGAAATCATAATCACAGTAGCGACGAGGACGAGGAGATGCTCATCGAGCCCCTGATCGACTTCTTGCTCAAGGAGCCGACGACACACAGTACCCCGATTAAGAATGAGAATATCAACAAGTAAGTGTTATATGAGGGATTCCATTTAGAGCAGGCGCATTATAAGGTCCTATCAATTTACCAGACATGACCCATAGTCCCATAACCATCATATTGTAACTTATCATTATATCGAGAGTGTGAACATGCCCAACTCTCAAGGGCCATTAAACTTTTGATAACAGTTGACATTCAGCAATGCTTTTATATTGTTTTCAAACCTTCCTACAATTGCCCTTTGTGGTTTTTGATACATTGAAAGCAGTGTACTTTTCCTGGGTCTGTTGTGAGGAAGTGCACCTCTACTGTAGTTTCAGGAAGGTGCCTTGATTTGAAATGTACATGTATACTTTACAGGTTCGACATTTGGGATATGAGGCTTATTATGATTTGCGGTGTTCTTGGTTTCCAGATTATCATGAATATTAGTCTTTCTAAATTTGCAGAGTTGGGTTGTTGGCTTGGCTCTACCAATGATGAGATCTCTGTTCTGAAGAAAGAATTGGTCCTAGGCCCCAACTAATATCGTTGCATCTGTCCGCACTAGCTACTTGCGCCCTCTGTATAGCAAACATTGCTGAATCGGTGACCGTTCGTCCCTCATGGTCCCCTTTTTCTTATGTTAATTGAGAGCTGATTTGATGAGATAACCACCTGTCAGTGACCATGCAGGGAGGTATAATCCTCCTGGCCAATTTAGTGCAGTGGGGCTTTAAGAGCTATGTATTGTCAATGGCAGTATAGCATTCTTGCATGCAGCTGAATGAGCTGACAATGTGAGGTAGAGCCCGGAAAATGAACTTGACCGATTCTTTCTTCAGATCAGATATCTCCACATTGGGAAAGCCAAACCACCAACCCACCGCTACAAATTTGTTAGCCTTCACCGAGAAACTCTGCATGGGCTTTTTATTGGACATGTATGTGAGCCAAACAAATATTGATGTCGGATGTCTGGTGGACCAATAAATGAAATGAGATTTCTTTTCCTCTTCCTTGAGCTCATCAATTAGAACCTTACAACAAAAATTGAAGACCTTTTTGATGAATAGGGCTACTGTTCATATTATTATCTGAGTTAGAATATTTTGTATTACTTTTGGTTATAAGTAGTATATCTGTAGTTATGTTGACCATTTGTCGCCTTTTCATTTTGTAATATCTTAGTTCCGTCTGTTCTGTTGAATTTTGATTAATGACCATATTCTTTTAATGTGTTTGATTTGTTGATCTGTGCGCCAAGGGTGCCTCTATATGGGGGCAGAGTTGTGCGCAATATAAATGTAGAATTATTATTATTATTATTATTATTATTCCTCCTTCCCCTCCAAACCTTGAATCCAGGACCAAGAAGAGAAGCCCCACATGCGCCAAGCTGAAGTGGAAGTGGGCCTTCCAGCAGGTGAGGAAGATGAACGATCCCTGGAAGGAGTTTCACCTGGAGGATCTCCCCATAGACACGGCCATCAGACATCGCTACAACGCCGTCGAGAAGACCTGGGTCCAGGATGAAGTCCAGGTCAAGATGGGTTCAGAGGTCAGTCGCTTCTTTGACCCTTCGTGTTACCATCAAAGATTCTTTTGATAACCTCCAGTAGAGCTTGATCTTGGGAGAAAATTTGATGATTTTATTTAGATTTTTTTTTTAAATTCATGTTTTTATTGAGAAATAAAAGAAAACATAACATGCAAGGACAACAAAACAAAACAGCACAAGTAGCAACAAATGTTACAATGCACTAAATCTGAAACATCCTCTGTTTGGATCCAGAAGAGCGTTAATGGGCAGGTCCAAGCTATTTGGATTGTGACGTACGGGACATTTAGAGACTTTAAACAAGAAATAACAACAGATGAAATTATTTAGATGGCTATCTTTTGGTATGAGGACCACAGCGTCCCGTACGTCACGCAGCACATTAATTACATTTAAAATTAATTAAAAAATTGGTCAGAACTAAAACTTTCCACAAATGAACTAGCCCATAATAGCCACAGACTCATACCAAAAGATAGCCATATAAATAATTTCATCTGTTGTTATTTCTTGTTTAAAGTCTCTAAATGTCCCGTACGTCACAATCCAAATAGCTTGGACCTGCCCTTATATATATACTTTAGTACAACGTTAATTATGACCTTCTGACTCGAAACAGACCATAAAAGGCATCAACTATTTTGTAATTGTGATGTGTTGTGGTAGAGTTATTTTCTCCTTTTTGAGAAAACTAATCTAATGTCAAATCACTTTCTTTTCTCTGCCCACCAGTCTTTTGCACATGGAGCCATGCGAGAGTGTTTTAGAATGTAAGTTTCCTGTGTATATCAACATAATTTTTGCTCTACTGAAGCTCATGCACACCTTTATTTATTTATTTTCAGTTTATTTAAAATAAACAAATTTAAAGGCAGGGTATTTTACTGACATCGCTTCCACTGCTGTAAAGTATTTTAATAATTTCCAGTTCCTGTACCCAAGCAATCATCATCACATGCACGTCATCAGGTGGTGATGCATTGTGGGATATGGTTGTAGACCCATCAGGACAATGTGAGCAGCAGGTGGCAGTATACATAAATCTGAAACACTGTCAGTAGAATACCCTGACTTATGATATGATATTATAGGATGGTATGTTGTGCATGTACTTAAAAGAGCGATGATTCTGTGATTTGGATTCTCAAAGTTTAGTTGGCAAGAGTTAGAGAATTATCCACTGTAGTGAAGGGTACAGAGCAATTTTAGGAATTCAATATTTGCATGATGCAAATGATGCTGTAATACAAATGAAGTCATATCGGGTGATTGAAGGATTTTATTGAATGTATTCCCTCTTCACAGTCATGATTTGCAATGGTTTCAACATTATGTTCATGATAACAAAACAACAACAAAAAAAATTCAAAATTCAAATCGTTTGATCAATGCTAATTATAAGAAGTATTTCTTGAAAAGATTAATACATCACGATTATATTAGTTGCTATGTTTCTAATGTGCTGTAAATGTACCTGCTTCAGATGATTAATTTTGCATCTTTCTTCCATCTGTTTCAGGAAGAAGAAGTCTAACTTCAGCAAGCACCACCAGTGGAAGAACTCGGGTAACTTTGTCGCTAAGCGTTACATGGAGACGGTGGAAAGAGACGTCTATTTTCAAGATGTCCGTCTTCAGATGGACGCCAAGATCTGGGGAGAGGAGTTCAACCGCCACAATCCTCCAAAGAAGGTGAGTCCTTATTCTACTTTAAAGTGACTCTGTAACTTTGTCTCAGATTCTGAAGAAAAAATTCTGGATTTAGCTGATGCTGCAATCATAATTATAAACCTTTAGGTCAGTCAGGAATCCCATGACTTTTACAAGCCGAACGCCTGTCTGATTATCAAGATATTTATTTCCTAACAGTTTTTATAACACTACAGTCTATTGGGAAAATGAGTATGGTAAAACCGGTCACTCAAAGATTTTTACTTTTTTGAGGCACTTCATTTTGAAGCGCAATTTTTGTTAGGGCTTCATTATTACACCATATCACAGACACTGATAATACGTAGGGCCATGCATCTCAGATTTAGCATTGTTAAATGATGCCTTTAAGAAATGTGTATTCAACATGTTGTAATGCTTTATTCTTTCAAGTCAAAGTTGAAACAATATTTGATCTCGTATCGAACTCTTAAGATATAGTTTGTACGGTGTTTCTTTCTATTGTTCTCAATATTTCTTTCCTGTAAATCATTCATTTCCTCTATATATTGTATTTCTTGGTACCACCAACCCACTACTACTCACCCCACACATAGATTTGCATGTAATATCTATATTTGTTTTTGTATGTTATTGTTTAATAAAAAAAAAAACTATTATATTTTGATATTGTAATTTTAAGCAGGGGATGATCCCCGATAAACCTCTGTGGTTTTTGATCACCCCCTCTGCAGGTTCATCCTTTGTTGTAATGCTTTTATATTTGATTGTAATTTATACTGCCTTTTTTTGAATCTGTGGAAATAAATGAAATTGAAAGTTGAAAATTGAAATTGAACATGAACAAATTTAATGTTTCTTTTATAATAAGATTTGTTTCAAAACTTTTGTGTGTGTTTTTGCTTCTTTAGGTGGATATCTTTCAGATGGCTGTCCTGGAGTTCATGAATCGACCTGGTAAGCCTCTCTTCCATTTGGAGAGCTACATAGAGGGCAAATACATCAAGTACAACTCAAACTCTGGATTTGTCAGGGACGAAGCACTCCGAAAAACACCACAGGTATGTTTTTTGCCAGTACATCAAGCATAAACAGTGATACTATTTCGGGGGGTACCATGTAGGTGTGGTCTAAAGTGTACAAATCACTAAAACATGTTTGTTCCCCAGGGAGTGGAGATTGTGCACACAGTGTGTGCGGTCAAGTATTGAATCCAATGACCGGGATAATAGTATATCTGGAAAACGCTTAGAGACTTTTGTATTAAATGCTATATAAAAGCTAAATATTATTATTATTATCATACTGCAGTCAAAATAAAAGCTTAGAATATTACTTCTACAAAGAGATATCGCAGATTAAATACACTCTCGGTGTAGAGTGAGACATCTCGTTGAGTGGACAAGTTAATGCACGCACATACCTGCCAACCACCCCGATTTAGGCGGAGTTCCTCCGCATTTTTCATACCAACTCCGAATTCCGAATGCATGCCTCAAAACTCCGATTTTTTTAAATTTATTTATTTATTTTTTTTTTTTTTTTATTTTTTATTTTTTATTTTTTTAGAGTGTAATGCACTTGGAGAGTATATAACTATTATGTTTGTATTTTGAAATGTAAAGCGCCTTGAGCATGTTCATGTAAAGGCGCTCAATAAATACCAATATGTATGTATGTATGTATGTATAAGACTAAAGCATAACACAGCACTGATAACCAGATCACGCCGACATCCGCGCTCGCGCTCATAGAAGATATACACAGCGACATGGAAAAAAAAATAGACCCTAAAGTCCTGTGTACCCCCCCCCCCCCCCCCCCCCCCCCCCCCCAATCTACGGGCTACTACCCCAATCCTTCGGTGGTTCGCGACCTCGTAGTCCATCCAGAAAAATTTACTCCTAATTTCTCTTGTCTCAGGTTGGCAGGTATGCACGCATACACACTTTATTAAATTCATGTTTGTTGGAAATGATGTTTTTTGAATAGGGTAAGATTAACCATGAAATCTGAAAAAGGTAAAATATTCCCTCATTTAACCCATTACCTATAGTGGATTCAGTAATAAAGCCTATGTTACAGAAATGAGATAGTTTTAATCCCTACCGTCAACTAAAGCAGACATATAGGCCCGAATTCACAAAGGAGGTTTGTCGACAAACCTTGGTTTTCGTGCGTCATATGACTCGTTTCGATGCGTTTTTACAAACCAGGTTCGTAAAAAAACTCGTAAAAAACGCTTTATATGACGTACAAAAACCAAGGTTTGTTGACAAACCTCTTTGTAAATTTGGGTCACAGTGTTCAAAGTCCATGGAATATTGAGGTAAAAAAAGTGCTGCAGCCTTTGAAGAATGTTCTTCCTGTTTTTATTTCCTTTCAGGCATTCAGCCACTTCACATTTGAGAGGTCCGGTCACAAGCTCATCGTTGTAGACATCCAAGGTAAGCGTCTGTATTGACACAGTCCGTGCATTCATTTGTTTTGTTTTTTACAGATTTAAGCCTTATTCACACATGTAACATTTAAGGGGAAGTCCACCCAAATATCAAGTTGGTTTTGATAGAAGCAGAAAGATGAGAGGAACAGGTCGATGAAACTGATTGAGATTGAAGATCAGAAAAATACAATTTTGTTAGGGTGAAGAAAAAAATCTATATTTTATTCAGGATTCATTATACAAGTAATGGTTTCAGTTGAAAGATAGAAGAGTGTTCACATTGTGTTAAAAGTATACGATCTATATGTCAGTGACACCGTCCACAGATGTTTGGTGAGTAGAGGTCGTGTGTGTTGTTGTTAGTCTGGTTTCAGTCTCGATGGTGTGACTGAGGTGTGAATGCCCTGACGCTCAAGAGGTGATATTACATTCTCTATTTCAATTTGATTATGTTTGACATTTAAAACCACTCATCAGACATTTTCATGACTTTCCCAGGTGTTTGTTTGTTGTCTGTCTGGTGCCAGTCTCGTTGGTATGACTGAGGTATGAATACCGGTACCCTTCCTCTCCATAGATAGATGGTATTGCATTCTTTATTTTTAATTTGATTGTGTTTGTCATCTAAAACCACACATCAAAAATTTGTCATGACATGATGTGATGTTATGATTTTCCAATTTTTCACAGATTTTGAATGTTATTATACATGATTTTTTTTTAATGTAAACGCAATATGTAAAATCCTACAATGAATTTCCATGTTATTAATGGAGGAAATAAAATTGAATTGAATTGAATTGAATTGAATTGAACTTTCCCCAGGTGTTGGCGATCTGTACACCGATCCTCAAATCCACACCTCTACCGGTACGGAGTACAACGAGGGTAACCTCGGCATGCGCGGGATGGCGCTCTTCTTCGCCACCCATGCCTGCAACGAGATCTGTGACCATCTGGAGCTGACCCAGTTTGACCTCCACTGCTCTGAGTTCACGGAACATGAGAAATACGTGAAACTGCAGGTTAGAGTAAACAGATGAATGTGTTTAAATGAATGATAGCATGCTTTAAAGACCATATCCAAACTGAAAAGTGAAATGGATTAGCCTTACATTACAATCATATCAATTATATGCCATTTTAGTGTCTTGTCAGAGGAGTATCAGCTCTCTGAAAACTCTAAAGCTTTGAAAATCCTAATAGCTTGACGTCATCTTTCTGTTTCAGGGAGAGGAGAGGGGATCTTTGTCCCTCCTTTGAACATAAGGATGACACAAAGTCGCTGCCACTGCCGGGGGATACATTCACATTGCACAGCAGTACAGATTTCTAGTTGAGGTTGTATTTATTAAACTTGAAAATCTCTTAACAGAAGTAATATTTTGAAGTTCATACGCCAAATATAGTATATAACGACATGGAGCTACTAACGTACATTAAATATTTTTTATTGTGATTGGTACACTTTAAAGCTCAACTGTTCTATCCTGTTGTCTTGCTTCTTTTCCCCAGAAAAATTCTGGGACCATCTGCCGAGGTACCGAGAACCGCGTCTTCAAACCTCGCGCAAGGCCCTCCATCTCCCCTCTCGACATGACCCAGTTCGTCGTTTTCGAGCGGTCCAACTCGCAGATGTCGACGGGCTCCAGCGTGGTCCTGTCTCCGCTTGCCGAATCGCCTCCGAGGCGCATTTCCTTCCAGGAGCTCCCTTCATCACCTGACGATGTCGCCATGTCGATGTCTCCACCTCCAAGCGTGCTCAATCAGTTCCAAAGAAGGACGGCACGTTTTAGGTTGGACTCGGAGAGCGAGAGCGAAACGCTGTCTCACGTAAGTTGGATTGCCCTCAGCAGTCTAGTTAGTAATGATGCTGTCAAAGGGGGTGTAGCATGATGAGACTGTGTCTTTCCCGTGGCCTGACTCAGGCCAATTGGGTATAATATGAGTATTTGCCATGCTACACCCCATTTAACAAGAAGGCTGGATTAGAAAGGCTTTGAAAACACATATATTTTGCAATTTTTAGTTGTAAGATTGTTTTTCTTATTACATACATGTATTTATGTAATTATCATTTACTGCAAGTGATTTGGAGCTTATATTTACAAAATTCTTTTTTAAGAAATGAATATCATGAATGATGTTATAAAAAAATAAGTTTTGTGTCATTTCCCTGTCATAAAACATGCAATTCTGATGGTTTGTTTTAATAGGATGATGAAAAAAGGGCAAAATTTCTGGAAAGAAATGTGAACCACAGACCATCCTGTGTGAACCTGGAGGTTCAGCTGCGAAAGACTATGCTGGTGACCAGTACTGGAGGCTCTATCTTAGGACAGGTAACAACATTTTCTTTTTTAAAACATTTAAAACATTGTTCTAATCGTGGTTACAGGAGAGTGGGGTGAAAATAGAAAAGTCTGGGTTTTAAGTACTATAAGTACTCTAAGGAAGAAACTGAGGGGCTTGAGTCTCATGGTGAAAGTATGGCAGAAACTTGAACAGGAGAAAAAGCGTGATAGATATTTTTCAAAATTTTGATAAAGAAAGTAAAAGAATGTGTAATATAAGGACGGTATCATATGATGTGATTTGATTCAGGAGAAGAGAGGACACATTAAAGAGAATTTTGATTTCTGGGAAGAGGTGAAACATAATCTGTGAGCGTTATCATTGTTGTTATGCGTGTGGAAGAACATCAGATAAAAAATGTTCCCTGGAAAGCATGGTTCTTAAAATGCCTTAATATTCGAAATATATCATGTGAATCGGGACTGGTCTTTACGCCACATGTTCGTGTAGTCCTGTGTTTCTGTGTACAGTGCTTGTAACTTTACCAAGACTGGGCCAAATGTCTTATCATTTTGATGATTCCAGAACCTTGCAATACACACCAATACTTATATGCTAGATGATCAACCTTTTCTGTTCGATTCCACATCGTTTCTTTCACAATGCAATCGCATGACCATAACTCAACATTATCTTTAAGTGGGATTATTTGTTAATAACCCCCAAAATGTATAATAACTCAACATATCTGGTGAACTTCTACTTCTCAGATTCATCTGGACATGGCTAAGTACCACGAGATGGGCCGCTTCGCTCCCGATGACAACAGCCGTAACATGGAGGCTGCCCTCTACCATCTGCGTCACGGTGCGGACTGCGGAGTCCTGGAAGCTATCATTGCCATGGCTAGGATCTGCCTACAGCTAACCCACGATGTTCTCACCGAGGTGTCTGTACCGGTGAGTAGCGTTTTTTTTTAGGGTTGTACGTACGATCCCCCTGTGACAATTTCCCTTGGTATAAAGCCGCACTGCACTACATGTACTTATAGCTACTTGCACCCTCTATATAGCAAACAATGCCTAATCGGTGACCATTGGTCTCCCATGACCCCTTTTTGTTATGTTAATCGAGACCTTATTTGATGAGATAACCACCTGTCAGTGACCCTGCAGGGAGGTCTAATCCCTCCTGGCCAAACTAGTGCAGATAGGCTTTAATACGCAACACTAACCCATACCCAAACCTGAACCTGAGCCTGAACCTAAAACCTGTTTTCAAGGCTAACCATAACCCTGTATCTTTGACAAAATAAAGTATGACGCTTATGTGGTAGGACCTCTCTTAGTGTCATTTTGTAACAACCCTAAATCCTAACCCTGTAACCTAACACTGTATATTTGATGAAGCACAGCCACAAGTATATTTTGTAGCACCGGTATTTGTTGTCTTTTGTTGTAACCATTTTGTATTTCAACTTACTTATTCCTTGACTTGCTTCTATCTCACAATCCTTGGGTCTAACCTTTGACCTTCACAGAGTGATGATGAAGATTATATGAACGAGGGAATGGACTACATGGAGACGGCTGCAGAGGCAGGGGACAGGGCAGCCATACTGTTTGTAGCCAGAGCATACGACACCGGTCACAACCTGGGAACTGCTAGGTATGTACTCTGGCTCTGAGCAAATGCATTTTAGCTGTGTTTTTCTTTTCTTCATAGAATAATGAATTTGGGCAAAGATGACAAGAGCTTCCGGTTGTACTGTAACCTAGCCTTTTCGTTGAGAATTATTCTTTGTGATTTGGTATAGCAAGGATGGGATTTCCTTGATGTGTTTTCATATAAATCTTTCTGAGCTAAATTGCTATCCATATATATACAGTGTACCCTCAAAGACCACACATCAATCACACATACAAAGTTTTGTTACTCGTGCTCTCCTCCCTGAATTGCTCATTGTTACTCTCTGATCTCTGCAATGTACATAAACACACATTTGGTACAGATCATACCTAATAGGTTATAATTGAATCGCAAAAAAAAAGAGAGTAATTTCAAGTCATAACAAAAACTATATACAGAGCAGAAATCCTGCTCGATCAGAGTTCAAATTCGTGGAGTGCTGAAATTGTTCTCTCCCATTGAGATTACATGTGGGAGGGAACTATTTACAGCTCCATGAATTGACCTTTGACCTTGCACGTGTCACATCGACAATATACTACGGATTTTCATCTTGTTCAAAGGTCAAATTTGTGGAGTGCTGAAATTGTTCTCTCCCATTGAGATTACATGTGGGAGGGAACTATTTACAGCTCCATGAATTGACCTTTGACCTTGCGCGTGTCACATCGACGATATACTACGGATTTTCATCTTGTTCAAAGGTCAAATTTGTGGAGTGCTGAAATTGTTCTCTCCCATTGAGATTACATGTGGGAGGGAACTATTTACAGCTCCCTGAATTGACCTTTGACCTTGCACGTGTCACATCGATATACTACGGATTTTCATCTTGTTCAAAGGTCAAATTTGTGGAGTGCTGAAATTGTTCTCTCCCATTGAGATTACATGTGGGAGGGAACTATTTGGAGCTCCGTGAATTGACCTTTGACCTTGCACGTGTCACATCGATATACTACGGATTTTCATCTTGTTCAAAGGTCAAATTTGTGGAGTGCTGAAATTGTTCTCTCCCATTGAGATTACATGTGGGAGGGAACTATTTTGAGCTCCATGAATTGACCTTTGACCTTGCACGTGTCACCTCATCGATACACTACAGGTTTGTTTTCATCCCTCTCTGTCTTATTCCACCAGGACGAAATCGTGGTTGGAGGCCATGCACTGGTACGAGGAAGCGGTCAACACGGAGAAGGTCGATGAAGACGGCCATTATGATTCCACCATGGACGATCCTAACTACCTGCTCAGTGCTAGGATGGCAGAGATGTATCGGGCCGGCGGACCGGACCTCGACAAGAACCCTGAGAAAGCTGGTAAGTAGGTCTCGAAACAGTCAAATCAGGAAATTTGAAGTCCTTAAAACTGCTGGAGTTAAAGTTTGAGATAACCTTTTTTTTTTCTTCCTGAAACTTGCACTTGAGCACTTTTTATCTTACAAATAATTCTTTTAAGTCCATAGAATCCATTAAGAAAAAAGGTGAGGTTTCCATAGAAGTAATACCATGAAAGCCCCTCTGCACTAGTTTGGCATTGAGGGAATAGACCTCCCTGCGAGGTCACTGGCAGGTGGAAATCACATCAAATTAGCTCTCAATTAACATAAGAGAAAGGGTATCACAGGGGATCAACGGGTACCGCTTAGGCATTGTTTGCTATATAGTAGTGCAGTGGGGCTTTAAACTAAGTTGTGCTTTTGATTTTCGATTTAAAAAAATATTGTCTCATGACATTCTTAACCTGTTAAAATCACTAAAGATTTTTCTATCAGCGGACAAACGATTTTGAGTAGCCAAGTATTTGCTTTTGTTAAACTATCAATTTGTTTTCTGTTTCTCATCTTAAACTTTCAAAGAATAAACTTCATCTAACCTGGGCCCTGTAACATAAAAACTTACCACTAATGGTAAATTTGACATAAAAATTAACTACCATGGCAATATCGCTCAATGGTTAGTCAATTAAACCAAGGTTTCCTTAAAAGTTGCCATCGATGGTAAGTTTCATGCATCAGGCCCTGTTTCTATATAGCTAAGCAAATTTCTGTTTTACCCTTGTTTTTCAGCTGAGCTTTACAACGAAGCTGCAGAGGGCGCAATTGCTGCCATGAAAGGCCGCCTCTCCAACAAGTACTACATGCTCGCTGAGGAGTGTTATGGTGAAATGGAGGAGGAGTGAAAAGGCTCATTGAACAGCCTCATCACGTGTCGGGTATATTGTATTCATCCTCCAGTGGTCCCCCCACTATATGACAAACTAAGTTTGGTGTACTTGTATGTCTTGTCTATGAATGGAATTCTTTAATAAATTGATCTTCATATTTGTAAAATCAAGTTCTTTGGTTTGTAAAGACTTATGAATGATCAAACTTTTTTCTTTTTACTTCTTTTAAAAATTATCATTGTTTCTTGAAATTTTGACTGCAAAAACAGCTCATTGACACATTCCTCCTTTTTTATTTTTTTGTATTCATTCATTGCAATCTGTCTTAAAGACGTGCAAACTATAACTTCATCTGTCACAGCACAATTTATATTTCATGTATATCATTTTCAGCAATAGCTATTTGATGGGAAAAGGCAAAGTTTGATGACTTTTAGTTGGGTCATATGATCCATATCAATAGCCCAAAAGTTTGAATTTAGTTTTGATTCATACAAGGATAGAGAAGACTACGCACACTGTAGATTATCTGAATTTCTGAAAAAGTTTGTTCATGAAAATTTGTCATTTTTCTTTTGAGGCAACTTGGCTGGTTCATTTGCCTCAAAGTTGATGAAATTTCTGTATGGGACATTGCACGCTGTCACTGAACATAGTTAGTTTGGTGTATATGCGATGTGTATAATATTCAATATTTGTCATTTTTCAAGTTTATGTTTGAAGAAAAAAAGTTCAACTTTTGTTGTATTTTTAGTCCACCTCCAAGGCATTAATGTATGGTCTGTACATATCTATGTTGTAAATATATTGTCATTTAACATTTAGTTTAACATTTCAAGTTTAACCTTACTTTGTTTCAAAATGGAGGTGTTTTTGATTAGGTAGCACAAGCAAGCTAACAGTTTCAAAAACATTAGTGAGTATTATGTCAATGACTTTTAAATGTGTAAGAAACGGAAGAGACAACAAAGAAAATCATGAAAATGTACATGAAATAAAGTATTGGTGTGGTAACAATTATAATTTGGGCGATAAATGATTACTTAAAATAACACTCCAATATGTTTAACATAAACTGGATAAGATAAATTTATTTTTGTGAAAATAATGTGACCTTTGTTAATAATATTGAATATTTCATGGTTCAAAATCATCATTTCATTATTAAAATTGTTGTATTCTCGAAAACACAATACTTTATGATATATAAGTATAGTTTTTCGCCAACAAGATTAGGGCAAGGTTGTAAGTGCGTATTAATATATACCTGTCTAAGGATTCTCAAGTTGTACATATGATAACTTATATCTCGTAATGCCTACCTCACTGTGTAACACAGCTCATTTAGAAAACAACTCATTATAACTCAACTGATATCAGGGTAGTAAATCATTAAGCTGGGAAGAAATTTTTGTTTTAAATATTTTGTTTACCGTAATTCTTTTCATCTTGATATATCCAGTATTTAATCATATTGTTTGAGTGAAATTGGGATTTTTGAACATGAAAGTGAAATGCACAGGGAATAATTCAACATATCTAGAAAAAATAACAAGATTTGAAATTCAGGGAGATAAACAAGGAATCTCCCTACAAGTAATTAGAAATACGAAGTACCGGTAGCTTAGAATAAGCTGATTGAGTAGAGAACTTGACCGCTAATTCAGAGCAGATTGTAAAGTAAAGGCCTTACGGAAGTATTGCAGTGGTACATTTGAATTCTTGTTGTGAAAACTTCAAATGTATTAATTGTATATAAATGATAAGACTGAAGTTTATATGACTGTGGATGAATGCAGTAGCATAGTGTACTATGTGATACATGTACTTTGAAGTTCAAGCTGTATCTTGTAAACTATGTAAATAGTAAGTATACAAGAGTTGATTACCAGTACACCTGTTTACTAATGTATGCATATCTTCTATGTTTCTCAAACCCATGGCTACCAGCCATTTCATTCACCTGCTATGAATAATGGCATCTCTAAGGACATGGCCATGTTGGGCAAGACCCTGGCAAACTTTTTAGAAGTCAAGAGAACAGTATGCATGGAATTAGTACACAGGTTTAGTGAGCGGAGCTTTCGTATGTGTGGTCATTTCTCTTTCTTCATACATATTTCTGACGATGGATAGTCGCATACATGCCAACTGTTCAGATTAAAGAGGAACATTCCTCTTTTTGGGAGAAGATAATTATCATTTTAATGCAGGTGTTCCTCTTCCTGTACAAATTTGTCTGTAGTATTGAATAGGAGAGTTAGGATTGTTCCTCTTTTTTTTGAAAATAGCATAATTTGTACAGATTTCTGATTTTCAAATGTTGGCATGTATGTAGTCATGCTGTTCGAAACGTCGAGCCACTCCTACTACCCATCCTCTCCAACCGGCGCTATAGTTCTCTTTAGAACTATAAGCTCAAGAAAGATTACCAACATTCCTTTTCAGGACTACACACACTCTTGAGAAAGAAAGATTACTGACAGTCCTTTTCAGGACCTCCCCCCCCCCCCCCCCCCATCCTCCCCCTCTCTAGCATGGTGCAACCGAAAGCCTACTGTCACTATGAATATGGCGGACAAAGAAAGCGGACAAAATACACAGTTCCTCAGGTAGACAAAGGAACATCCCTTCACTGCTATTATGTAAAAAGTGAATAAGCATGTGACACCTGTTCTACACATTTTTACATAATAGCAGTGAAGGGATGTTCCTTTGTCTACCTGAGGAACTGTATATTTTGTCCGCTTTCTTTGTCAGTCAGGTTCGTAGTGTGTATATATTTGTGTTCGTACTTGAAACCTGCTTTTGTGACCACTTGTCTATAAAGACCACATTTCTTGTTTTCCTTGAAAAATCCTGTCTCTTTCACACCTCTTCTTCGTGGACTTTCCATAAAAACATGTGTTACAGAATTAACACACATTTTTATTTGGGTAGTCAGCAAACTTTTGTTTCCCCTGAAAAATGTACATATAGACCACCTTTCTATAAAGGTAGCTTGTCATGTCTCCTTTAAGCAGTCATTATATCTAGGTTTCACTGTATATACTTACATGTGTTTTACAAGGTTAGTGCTTGGAGTCTGTTGTATGACAGTTGAAATAACAGCAAAATGTCAAGACCATGGAGAAAAAGAAATGATTGGAATCTTGTACAAGTTACACAATTCTTGTGTAGGTTTAGTTGATCGACTACAAAAAAAATTTAGAGATGGTCAAGTATGAAGTATGAATGGTGGTTTATTGCTGAGAATAGGAATGGAAACGGCTTATTTTGTAACTCCTAAAATTTTCTATTACATTACTATTTAAATCCTGACTTGTTACTTTATTATGGAATGTGTTCATCCAAGTATAATTAGAATTTTAATTCATTTCAATTTGGATATGTTTTAGTCAAAAGAAAAAAAAAAAATCCATAAGTCAGTTGACACTCATCAGTAAGTAGAGAAACAGATTGAAGAGGATATAGAACTATGAGAAATGTTCTAAAACTCTAGTACACTCTAGTATTAAACAGCAGAATAATGGTAAATAGTTAACAAAAATGTGCAGTAAACTATATCTTCTGATTCATTCAATGCAATGTTTTGATTAGTGAGGCTAGTGTAAATAGGAAAAGCACAAACAAAATGTTTTGTCTACATTAATGAAAAATTAATCTAGTGTTAGCCGACAACATTTTTTTTCTATTTTTCACTTTCTACTTTTTCAAATATTTTTCTATCGTGATGTATGTTATAGATGTTTGATTGATTTGTTAATTAATTTCTTATGGAAGTAAGAAATCCAATGGAACTCTGTTTGATTGTATGAAGTAAAGTTTAAGAAATACATTTTGTAGCGATTGTATTTTTAGTGCCAAAATGGTTTCGAATGACATAACTTTTGAAAGAATTTTTGTTGTCATAATTAAAGATGTTTAATTTGTTATGTAATTATGTCTCTTAATTCTAACCTCCCTTTCATGTGTGCTTGGTCTTTAATGAAAGTGGAATAAATTAGTTGTTGAGATGAGATTTTTTTTCTTCAAATTTGATAAACATTAAAAGTTCAAGGAATAATGATATCAAATGATTAAAACTACATCCTTTAGCTTAAAGGATATATTGTTAATATATTTCCCTATTTGCCTGTAGCTGCTTTAGAAAGAAAAACAATCATGAATGGTAAACCAATACCGGTATTACAAGTAAACCCTGGAAGAAGAAAAAAGCATTGCTAATGTATTATGTGATATATATGATTGTTCCCTCCAAATATACAAAATTTGTTGTTTTTGTAAGATATGTACATAATGTAAAAGTATCCTCTGTCTTTTATTTTGTTTGGATCAAGTCGGCAATTACTTCTAATCTAATCTTTGTAAACTTCCAGAATCTGTATGCATATTTATTTTGTTTTATTTTGAAACTTTATTAACATCATGTTCAGTATATTTTTACCAGTAGTTGGTTAATTTACATTGTCATTAAGATTATAATATAAAATGCTATTCGTGCCACATCTTTTATAATTTCACAATTTTTTTCATGATATTTGACATTTATTTTGTATTGATTAAGACCCGTTTATAATATAATATGGTCAGTAATTTCTCCCTTTGCAGTTGATTCCTTATAAATTTTACATATCCTCTATAAATGCTGCCCTTTCACTGAATTACATGTATCCATAGGAATGTGGATTTATGGTTATTCAAACAATGATAATCGCAATGAACCTTTTATATTAGCTCTCTACAAAAAAATGTCCAATAGGATGTTTATCCCAGCCAGTTCCCATGTTTGGTCATTTTCTTCTCCGTCCCCTACTCTTGTTCATCTGTTACTTTCATCTCCCCCGTGAATAACAAGCTTATTTCAATATACATTTTTTTTTTTAAAAGGGAGAGATCAGAAAGATGGGCATTTTATTTAAGGATCTTTTTCTTGATTATACTTGTATGTATATAGTATATGCCATACTTATTCGTTTTCATTAACTTTGACAAACTGGATTTGATTTGTTGGTACATTCATGTATCTTGCTCTTTGTAAACCAACTCGATATATACATTTCTTATCTAGACTGAAATAATATTGTATGCTTGCAGATAACTTCTCCTTTTTTGTTGCAATTCCATAAATTCTGAAAAAGTGTCAATTTGTGTGTATTTATGTTTTTTCTTAATCGTTTATTATGTTGAATAATTGTTTGATGTATGTAGAATATCCATAGCCAGTAACTACGAGGATGTGTGATGTGTTGTGTATGATAAAACTGACACAAAGTCTAGTCAACATATTATACCATCACACAAAATACATTTCAGAGATCAGCATAGTTGCAACAAATGCAAAGTACCGGTATACACGTGTCACGGTGTGTATGGTCAAGTGACTGTTGGCAACAGACAGAATAAGTGACGGGCAAGAGGGTTGCGGACAATTTCGTGAGAGATGAAAAGTATTGAACCGAAAGGGAGCAGAGAGAGGGGGGGGGGGGGGGGAGAAATGGATGAAAGGAAAGAGTGATCGTACAACAGAATAAGCAAAATCGGTTTGTTGATTGAAAGTATGGTGATTTTAGTTAGTCCACAGTAAAGCACATAGTTTACAAACATTTTTTAATAAATGCTAGAAAAATATACACAATTGAAGATAAGTTAACATTATAATTTAGAGTTAGAGTATGACTGTTACTGTTCATGACTTACAACTATTATGCCATTGTACATGAGCAATTTTTGTACATGAGCAATTTTTTTAAAGGTGAACAAGTAGGCCTAACATCAGTACAGTTGTTTCATTTATTTGCAGAGTTTGTTAATTCATTTAGTAGTAATCTCGACGTTATGCAACGAGATGTTTCATAGTATCACATTGCGATCGGAAAGAATCGAGCATTTCTTGCTCTTCGGGTTTTAATGCGTTCGGCTCCTGCTGGGCCTTCATGTCCTCGGTGAAGATCGAGTTTATTCGGGTAGTTTCGGCCGCTCGGTGGTGCTTCGCGCCTGCTAGATGGGCGATCTTTGACCCCGTCGAATATTGGAGATCGTGTAGCTCATGCTCACGATCTTTCTCCTGTTTGTTGACAAATGAATATAATAGAGAGAATAAAGCAGGATTAGCCTTTGTCTTAGATTTTGAAATAGAAAGGCAAAAGTAAGACAAAGTGTATTAATTTTACGCTCCTTGGGATAATAGTCTAAACCACCAACAAGAAATATTTTAAGGCGCACATATACTTTTTGAAATATTGCAATTTATCCTGAATTATCATTCAAATTTGCTTCAAAAACATTTTTTTTTTAATTGGTCGAAATCGTGTTGCTTTGCAGTCTGTGTCAAAAAGGTGCATTTTTTAAATGTTCATGAAATATGCTCCAATACCCCTTTTCGGCAAGCTCGGGCCCTCAGTACCATGTATTGATGAAAAATGTATCAAAATGGGTTCCATTGCAATTTCTTGATTTTGGCCGAACTCCCTTGCAGTGTAGCCCTGGATTGAGGATAATTATGTTTATCTCTGATCTCAAATAAAATGAAATCGGGGTTGTCGAATTTTCAGGTAATTTTGGAGTCATTCAT